GTGCAAACACTTCATTTGAAACCACTTAAGAAAGCGTCTATTTGGACTCAGAGTTTCAAGGTGTGGGACATCACGATGGGGAAGTCGTGGCCGCAGGCTCTTGAGCTGGTTCATCACATTACATCTGCAGTCAGAAACCAGGGATAAATAAATGCTGTGCTCAGCTAGCGTTCTCGTTTTCCAGTGAGGACCTTCCCCAAGGCATGGTACCTCTCACATTTAGGGTGATCGTCCCTCCTGCATTAACCCAGTCTAGAAACTTTCTCACAGATGTGCGAAGAGGCTTGTCTCCTAGGCGATTCCAAATGCAGTCAGTTTGACAACCGAGATTAACCATCGCGCTGTCTTAGTCCGTCCTCAGACTTAGCCTCCTTCAGTTCTGGATTCATCATTCTTGGACTTTGAAGAAATGTACAGAATGCAGGGTTAAGTGAAATCCTAGCTTGAGGAAGACTGTTCTTCCTGGTTGCTTCTGTAGGTGCATGTGTGTGTGTGTATCTATCCTATGACTACCTTTGTTGCATGTGCCTTTTGTGCTGAACAGAAATGTACGGTGCATGTTTGAGATGTTGGAGTGGAAGCCGTGCTTCACACAAGTACTTTTCATATTCTGGTCAGCCGATATATATTGAATACTTGATCTCTGTTTTTAAGTTACAAGGTTTTTAAATGAATCATAGAATCAACCTCTTTTCTTCTTCTTCCTCTCTCTCTCTCCTCTCTCTCCCTATCCCTATCCCTTATTTTCCCAATGTCATCCATATGTTTCATGTAAGTACATCATAATATATATAATTCAAATAAATCAACATATATCTCTATACAAACATTCATACTTATTCTATACACGCACACATAGACGCATACACATATATATGTCATGAAGATCATTTCTGTTTGTTGGTTTGTTTTGAGACAACGTCTTGCATATTCCATGCCAACCTCACGCTTGCCAGGTAGCAGACATGACGTGGAAATTCTGATTCTCTGCCTGCCTCCAAACCCCAAGTGCTCAAATTAGGGATGTGTGCCAGCATGACCAGTTTACACAGAGCTGGAGATCAAACCCAGGGATTTGTGTGTGCTAGGTGAGCACTCGACCCACTGAATGACATGCCCAGTCCTTGAAGGTCATTTTATACTATATTTGGAGTTTAAAAATTTACCTATTTTTATGTGTGTGTTTTGCATGCATGTATGTAAGTGTTCCTCATGCATCCAGTACTTAGAGAGGCCAGAAGAGGGTGTCAGATCCCCTGGAACAGGAGTTCAGGACAATGGTTGTTAGCTGCCATGTGGGTGCCGGGAACCAAACCTGGGACCTCAGGAAGAACAGCCATTGTTCATAACCATTATGCCATCTCCCCAAGGCCCTTATACTATATTCTTAGTGCAGTTATGATTTAACTGTCACCTGAAGTCTGTGGATTTTCCGATTCAGAATCGGACTTCTCAAAACCCAGAAAAGGAGCATTTCGTATTTTGGCTTTACAGGTTATTATGTTCAACGTGCCATGGAGGTCCACATCCCTGGGTGTTGTATTTTTTCGACCTGTGGCATGGGTGAACCATGTGTCTGTTTCCTCTGTCATTAAGTGATAAGCCTTTGGCTTCTTGAAGCCCGTTACCCCTTCATTTCCTACGTGCGATGAGCACCACACAGTTCTTCAGCTAACAAAGCTGCTTCCTCTCCCTCCCAGGCACCTCCATCTGGAAGGCCTTTTATTTCACGCCCAAGTTCAGCCCTGCTGGCGCCAACGGATGTTTCTCCACACACGTGTGTTTCTGTTTTGGGGACTACATCACTCACCACGACCCACCTTTGTTGTTTGATATCGCCAAAGACCCGAGAGAGAGCAATCCGCTAACGCCTACATCGGAGCCCCGATTCCACGAGATCCTTAAGGTCATGCAGGAAGCTGAGAACAAGCACAGCAGGACCCTCCAGGATGTCGCCAACCAGCTCTCCATAGGGAACATTATGTGGAAGCCTTGGCTGCAGGTCCGCTGCTCGAGGAAGACTGTTCTTCCTGGTTGCTTCTGTAGGTGCATGTGTGTGTGTGTATCTATCCTATGACTACCTTTGTTGCATGTGCCTTTTGTGCTGAACAGAAATGTACGGTGCATGTTTGAGATGTTGGAGTGGAAGCCGTGCTTCACACAAGTACTTTTCATATTCTGGTCAGCCGATATATATTGAATACTTGATCTCTGTTTTTAAGTTACAAGGTTTTTAAATGAATCATAGAATCAACCTCTTTTCTTCTTCTTCCTCTCTCTCTCTCCTCTCTCTCCCTATCCCTATCCCTTATTTTCCCAATGTCATCCATATGTTTCATGTAAGTACATCATAATATATATAATTCAAATAAATCAACATATATCTCTATACAAACATTCATACTTATTCTATACACGCACACATAGACGCATACACATATATATGTCATGAAGATCATTTCTGTTTGTTGGTTTGTTTTGAGACAACGTCTTGCATATTCCACGCCAACCTCACGCTTGCCAGGTAGCAGACATGACGTGGAAATTCTGATTCTCTGCCTGCCTCCAAACCCCAAGTGCTCAAATTAGGGATGTGTGCCAGCATGACCAGTTTACACAGAGCTGGAGATCAAACCCGGGGATTTGTGTGTGCTAGGTGAGCACTCAACCCACTGAATGACATGCCCAGTCCTTGAAGGTCATTTTATAGTATATTTGGAGTTTAAAAATTTACCTGTTTTTATGTGTGTAAGTGTTTTGCATGCATGTATGTAAGTGTTCCTCATGCATCCAGTACTTAGAGAGGCCAGAAGAGGGTGTCAGATCCCCTGGAACAGGAGTTCAGGACAATGGTTGTTAGCTGCCATGTGGGCGCCGGGAACCAAACCTGGGACCCCAGGAAGAACAGCCATTGTTGATAACCATTATGCCATCTCCCCAAGGCCCTTATACTATACTCTTAGTGCAGTTATGATTTAACTGTCACCTGAAGTCTGTGGATTTTCCAATTCAGAATCAGACTTTTCAAAACCCAGAAAAGGAGCATTTCGTATTTTGGCTTTACAAGTTAATATGTTCAACGTGCCATGGAGGTCCACGTCCCTGGGTGTTGTATTTTTTCGACCTGTGGCATGGGTGAACCATGTGTCTGTTTCCTCTGTCATTAAGTGATAAGCCTTTGGCTTCTTGAAGCCCGTTACCCCTTCATTTCCTACGTGCGATGAGCACCACACAGTTCTTCAGCTAACAAAGCTGCTTCCTCTCCCTCCCAGGCACCTCCATCTGGAAGGCCTTTTATTTCACGCCCAAGTTCAGCCCTGCTGGCGCCAACGGATGTTTCTCCACACACGTGTGTTTCTGTTTTGGGGACTACATCACTCACCACGACCCACCTTTGTTGTTTGATATCGCCAAAGACCCGAGAGAGAGCAATCCGCTAACGCCTACATCGGAGCCCCGATTCCACGAGATCCTTAAGGTCATGCAGGAAGCTGAGAACAAGCACAGCAGGACCCTCCAGGATGTCGCCAACCAGCTCTCCATAGGGAACATTATGTGGAAGCCTTGGCTGCAGGTCCGCTGCTCGTCATCCTCGTCTGCCCTGTCTTGTCAGTGCGACAGAGAAAAACAGAACCGACAAAAGGAATGACAGGCTAGGCACTGCCTCTGAGGACCAGAGAGGTTCCACACATTCCATTGACCATCTTCATTTAAACGGCCGTACGGGAGTTCCTGTGGTCAGAGGGAGGTCGGTCCTCGGTGTGTGAACTCCGTTCTCATTTTCACTTACACCAATTCTGTATGAACAAGACATCCACAGTGGGCTCAACTGGGGCACCGGTGGCATATGGCAATACTTTTCTTTCAAGGCTTCATCTTTGACTCATGTCCAGGGAATGATAGAGTTCTCTCTGACAGAAATACAGACAGATGGGGAAAGTTGCAAACGTAACTTCTCCCATCCTAGGGAAGCAGCTAGCTAAGAGTCAGTGGTATAAGGGGTCGTGGACTTTATACTTTGAAATAACCCAGTGACTCTTAGGGCTCCCAAGCACAGCTGGAAAGAAGACAATCAAGCGTCAGAAGACTTCAGTAACTCTAACATATGCACCTTTAAAATGAATGAAGGACTCTCTGTGATGGAGAATGGACATTCTGATTTGCTTATGCAAGGCTAATCAGTATTACTAGGATTTCCCAAACATATCAAGTGCTGCTTGCTATACGCACATATAGACACTATCTATATTTATACACACACACACACACACACACACACACACACATATATTTCTTCGACAAAATTAAGGTATCTAGGGACCTAGGGGTTTATCACTGTTTTAATGAAACCAAAAAGACCCATAAATCGGTCTTTCTGATCAATGACTATTCTACCCAATCCCTCGTTAGCACTAATCACAGGACAGATGTCAAATGTATTTCTTCATTGATAGTATTATTTTGAACTCAGCTGTTTCTGTAAAGAATGGACGGACAAGGGCAGTTTGGGTACTGCCGCGACTCAGGGAATCTCAATCAACATTGTTTGGAATTCTCAGTGTGGAAAGTATACGCAATTTTGAGGGCAGTGGTCGGGAAACTAAGAAATCCATGATATCTGTGCATATGGGTCATTTGTAGTGCTAGATATGAATTACTGAGGAGGCACAAATGTACTTGGATGTGGTTGTATCCTGTGGCTGAGAAATATGTGTTCGTTGTCTGCGGTGAGACGTACAGTTTTGTTGTAGATCCGCTTCCGCCAAGCTTTAATAATTCTTGGAAAAGTGCATTCTGGGCGATAGGGTAATTTCACAGTCTGTCCTGGATAAAGACCTCTTTACCCACCTTGCCACTTTGACACAGGTACCTGACTGGAAACAAAGAAGGACGGGTTTTATTTTCAGTTACAGTTTGAAAAGATACACTCCATCACGATGGGGAAGGCGTGGTGGGAACCAGAGTGTGCTGGACGGTTTGCTGTCTTTTCACATCCCAGCAGAACAGGGGACAGAAGGAACACGGGAACTAGAGCTGACTACCAAGCCATCAAGCGGAGCCCTCAATAAATGTGTTCCTCTGTCCAACGAGGCTCTCCTTACGAAAGGTTCTACACCCTCCCACAACAGCACCACCAGCTGTGGGCCGCGTACTCAAACACACAGGAGCCTCCGAGGGACATTTCACATCCAAACCTTAATAAATTGGCTTTGGAAAAATTAACTGTCAAGTTCTGTATCCCAACCGCACCCCCCGAGACGTTCCCAGGATTCAACAGCTTTGACCCAGCTTTTCTAGTATTTCTTATGTATCTTTAATTTTTGCTTTCCTTTTCTGGAGGAAAAAGAAAAAAAAAAGGCAGCGATTGCCACTGCAACCTTCTTTTCTTCCCCCTGAGCTTTTGTAATTTCATACAACAGTTCGTAATCAAATCTAGACTGCCCCCTCCCCCAGCCATACCTTCCCCATCCCTCCACAGGACCACATGTATTCTGCCATACGTGTTAAGTCCTATCCAGTCAAGCATTTGTGCTCAGTTACCTATCAGTGTAAATTCAGGCACTGGAGTCTAGGCACCCCATCTAACATGCAAGTTTGTATTGGTGATGTGCTTGGATTCTAAAGGACGCTCTGGAGGGATTTTTAAAGCCAGTATGCAGTGTGTTTTAAACCTTCAGTGTATGTGAATTTCTAGAAAATATTTAAGTTTGTGGGAATATCTGTCAGGGGATAACTAATCCAAACTGAGATCACTGTTACATTTGAAGACATTTCACAATCATGCTTATTGGGAAATACCACAATGAACAAAGATTCCAGAACGCTTACCACAGAAAACCTTTGCTTTGAATACATAACAGGGACTTTGAGTTTTCTTTCTGCCCAGGAGAGACCTAACATTCTTGAAGGCACAGTTTTGTTTTTTTTAGCATTTATTATTTTGTATAGACATAAGGCATGGCTACTTGTTTTCAGAGCATTCTATTGATGTTATCTCTACAGTTCTATATTCAAACAAACCTTAGTGGGCTTTGAAGTTTTGAACATATCCTTTGAAAAGAGAGATTTGTATTCCTTGTATTAACATAGATGCCAAAAGGTAGGCAAACAGTGTAGTAATGTATACACAGGTGTTATTTTACAAGGTCCGTAGCCCTGCAGGAAAGATAGCATTTGTAACCTATATTATCTGTGAAATGAAGAATTCAAAGAAAGAATGTCTCAGCTGTCCCTGAAGGACATTCAACACATGCAGTTCAGAGTATAGAAAATAAATTAAAAAGAAAACAAAAATAACACAAGGAAAGCATTAAGCCCATGTGTACACAATGCGGTCTTCAAAAGAATGTGTCAAATAAAAATATCCCTCGGGTCATGTAATGCAAAGTTAAAATAAAATACTCTTTGGCAATGAAATCACTGTGCTTGAATTCCTATTCTCCAAGGAGACTCGGTTCAGCACCACGTGAAGTGCTTACCCTAATTTGCACACAGAGTTCAGCACTTACGGTGTCCTTAAGAAAGAAGTAAAGATATATTGATGATGGACAGAAACAAAATACTCTATAACTTCAATGATGAGAGGGTGAGGCAAGGTCACATTACTACCTTACAGGAATCCCAAGAATATTGAATATTGTAATCTATTTTAAAATCAGAGGAAGAGCTGGGGGGGTTAGCGGCACGTCCCTGTTCAGCATGCACGAGACCCAAGTTGAGACCCAGGTACTGCAAAATATGAAGTTTCAGTGCGAAACATCTTATTGATGTTTATGCCAACACTCCTAAGATACAATTTTAATATTGTTCTTATCTTTTATTAATTTACAGAGTATATTATTATGTTAAAATATATTATGCTATTCCTTCATAGCCCATGAAATTCTTAATAGGCCTTTGGGAAGGGACCTTACTCTGATGTGTAATTCTTTAACACTAATATCTGGAGAAGAAGTTTCATAAGAAAACCTTTTTTTCTTTTTCTTGCCTTTTGTTGGAAGAATGACAATAATACAGGAGCTCTCACTGGCTCACAAATGGTGCTTTAGGGGCTGCAGAGACAGCTCAGTAGTTAAGAGCACTTAGGGGCTGCTCTTGCACAGGACCTGGGTTTGACTCCCACACCCATGTGGAGGCTAACAACCATCTGTAAGTCCAGTTCCAGGGGATCTTATGCCCTCTTCTGACCTCCGCGGGCATTGTCTCCTATGGGTACACTCACACATGCAGGCAATACACTCAAACACACGTACGCAAAAAAGCGCGCTTTAAATACAAGCACTCTGTAGAGAAATCAGTGGTCAGCAAATCTGCTTAGGATAAAAGGCCTCGGTTTTATACGAGCTTTTATACGAACAGTTTTTAATGGCTAGAAAATCTGAACTATAGAACCTTCTCTTTAGTCTCCAATGACTAAGAAGTATGTGGTAAATAACCTGCTTCTTATATCAAGATGTCTGGTGGCTGTGTAGGACACATTCATCCCAGGCTTCTTTAACAAAATTCTGTGCGGGGCTCAAAAGATGCCTCAGCAGTTAAGAGCACGGAATGCATAACTGTTATCTGTAGGGAGAAAAGAAAGCCCCTGACTGATGCCTAGGAGATGTGAAGGAGAAGTAAAGGCAACAGTAAATAACCACTTTCTTGGCTAAAAGTCAAAATTCTCTTGGGCCTTTTAGCAACATACTCTGTTCCAAAGACCAAAAATGTCAAAAGTGTTTGGGAGCTCTTATCTAATCCCTGAAAGGTTTTAGGGTTACCTCTTCAGAGGGGAGAATGTTAGAGTAGCAAAAAGCGCCCCCACCGAAAAAAAAGTACATGAAGTTGTCAGAAAAAGGTGATGGGGAGATATGGGAGGAGTTGGAGGGGAGGGAGTGGGTGTGGATTTGATCAAAACACATTGTATGTATGTATGAAATTCTCAATAATTTTTTTAAAAGTTAAAAAAAATCCCAAAAAACAAAAAAAAAAAGCACTGAATGCTCCTGCAGAGGACCCAGGTTTGATTCCCAGCACCCACAGGGCTGCTAACAACTGTCTGTAACTCCAGTTCCAGGGGATCCAACACCTTCTTCTCTGCACAAAACTATTTGTTCCTTCGGTCACTATTCCCTGTTGATCAGGCAACTCTGTAAAGTTCCTCCACATGGTGACTTGGGGATCCAGGCTCTGTCCTGCCCGGTTGTAGCCACCTTAGATTACTTTCCTAGATGTTCAGTGTTCATGGAAATCAACATTTGCTCTGGGTGTATTGCGAATTGAACCCCATCGTTGAGACCCCATTGGTGTGGTCCCTATAATATGACACTAATCCTGAACAAGGTCTTCTTTCACGTGCGTTAGCAAGTATGACCGGGTAATTGTTTCTTTTATCGCCATCCATGACACCTGACAACGATTGACGTGAAAAGCAAAGACTCACCCTAAATGTGGGTGGGACTATCCCATGGGCTGGGATTTTGGAATCAGTAAAAAGGAAAAAGCTCAGCTGAGCACTAGAGCGCACCTCTCTCTTGGCTTCGTGAGTTCAGGTGAGATGTGACCAGCTTTAACCAAACTTGCTGCTTTGATTTGGCTAGGGATGGAATGTGCAAAGCATGCGTTCACATAACCATCCTTAACTTTCTTTTATCAGGTATTGGGTAATGAGAAAAGTCACAGAGTATGAGCCTGGAGTTTTTGTGGTCAGCTTCCATGCCCTGCAGCATCTCAGCGAGAGCCCCTTCTGTATTGGGAGACCTACCCCCGTCTCACAGGCTTTGACGAAAGGGACAGCAATTGTCAGTATTTAACAGTGTCAAATATTATGTTAAGTGGAGTTCTTCCGATTAAGCACATACGAGTTTCTTAATCAGAATGCGCTGAGCTTCCAAACCATTATTCCCAACTGATGATGCAGAGACCCGAAAGTTCCGTGCCTTTCCACAACAGGAGGAAGATCATCCCACAGCTACCACCCCCTCCAAGGCTCAGGGATGTTTGCAGAAGACATTTGTGGAAAGAATGTAAGAGTCAGGATAAGGGATGGAGTGTTAACTGGAAGTGTCCTCTGACCACTGTGCTGGCAAGCTATAGCCACACCTCCTTCTCATGCTCATCAAGGAGTCAAGGGGGGACTCAGTTACCCCTCCCACCCAATCAGTCTACCTTAGCTGCATGTGAGGGAGGGTCTAAGGCGACATAAGTCCAGAACATCAGGAGGCCCCTCTCGCTCCATTTTCTACAGCTGTCGGGAAGTCACGGGATCTGTATTTGAGTGTGGACTTTCCAGTGCAGTCGTAAATGGGGGGGCACCCACTCCTATGTAAATAACCCCCTATCCTATGCTCTGTTAAAAAAAAAAAAAGGAAAGGAAAGAAAACGATAGACGTTTGGATAGATGAGAGGAATCTGACTAGACCGCAAGTGGATGGATTTGCACTGGGAAATGTCGGGGGGCACTGAGTTGACACAGTGGGCCTTAACACCCAGGACAGAGTATATAGTTTCCAATGCGGGGATAGCTGTGGGAGGGTGCTTCTGGGGATGGGGCGATAAAGATGATTCAGGTTGTTTGATGTATTCTGTACGAGATAGAGAAAATTTAATTAAAACAAAGCAAAACAAAACAGTATTCCCAAAGAGGAAACAATGCCATATAATAATGGCCCCGTTTTCTCAGAGAAATGCAATGACCCTTTCCATATGCGAGATCATCAGGATTTCATGCCTAGAAATGCTGCTGTTTATTTAGTTCAAATTCCCTGGATGATCTCAGTTTTCCTTCCTCCTTCCTCCTTCCTTCCTTCCTCCGTCCCTCCGTCCCTCCCTCCTTCCTTCCTTCCTTCCTTCCTTCCTTCCTTCCTCCTTCCTTCTTCCTTTCTCCTTCCTTTCTTGCTTCCTCCTTCCTTCCTTCCTCCCTCCCTCCTTTCCTTCCCTCCCTCCTTCCTTCCTTCCTTCCTCCCTCCTTCCTCCTTCCTTCCTTCCTCCCTCCCTCCTTCTTTCCTTCCCTCCCTCCTTCCTTCCTTCTTTCTCCTTCCTCCTTCCTTCCTTCCTCCTTCTTTCTTCCTTCCTTCTTCCTTCCTTCCTTCCTCCTTCCTTCCTTTCTTCCTTCCCACCCTCCTTCCCCCTTTCCTTTCCTCCTTCCTGCCTTCCTTCCTCCTTCCTTCCTTCCTCCTTCCTTCCTTCCTCCTTCTTTCTTCCTTCCTTCTTCCTTCTTCCTTCTTCCTTCTTCCTTCTTCCTTCTTCCTTCTTCCTTCTTCCTTCTTCCTTCTTCCTTCTTCCTTCTTCCTTCTTCCTTCTTCCTTCTTCCTTCTTCCTTCTTCCTTCTTCCTTCTTCCTTCTTCCTTCTTCCTTCTTCCTTCTTCCTTCTTCCTTCTTCCTTCTTCCTTCTTCCTTCTTCCTTCTTCCTTCTTCCTTCTTCCTTCTTCCTTCTTCCTTCTTCCTTCTTCCTTCTTCCTTCTTCCTTCTTCCTTCTTCCTTCTTCCTTCTTCCTTCTTCCTTCTTCCTTCTTCCTTCTTCCTTCTTCCTTCTTCCTTCTTCCTTCTTCCTTCTTCCTTCTTCCTTCTTCCTTCTTCCTTCTTCCTTCTTCCTTCTTCCTTCCTTCCTCCTTCTTTCTTCCTTCCTTCCTTCCCTTCATTTCCCCTTAGTTTTTAAGAGACAGGGTTTTACTGTGTTTCCCAGACTGGCCTCAAGCTTGAGACCTTCCTGCTTCTAATTCTCAGATATGGGAAGGAAGAAAGGACAGGAGGGAGGGAGAGGAGAGGGAGGGGAGGGAGGAGGATGAGAAGGAGAAAGGAAGGAAAAGGAAAAATGGAAGAGAGAAGGAAGGAGGAAGGAAGGAGGGAGGAAGGAAGGAAGGAGGAAGAAGGAAGGAAGGAGGGAAGGAGGAAAGGAGGAAGGAAGGAAGAAGGAAGGAGGAAGGGAGGAAAGAAGGAAGGAAGAAGGAAGGAAGGAGGGAGGAAGGAAGAAGGGGGGAGGGAAGGATGGGAGGGAAGGAAGGAGGGAGGGAGGGAGAGAGGAAGGAAGGAAGGAGGGAAGAAGGAAAGAAGGAGGAAGGGTGGAGGGAGGGAAGGAAGGAGGGAAGAAGGAAGGAGGAAGGACAGAGGGAGGGAAGGAAGGAAGGAAGGAGGGAAGAAGGAAAGAAGGAGGAAGGAAGGAGGGAGGAAAGGAAGAGAGGGAAGGAAGGAATGAGGAAGGAGCGAAGGAGGAAGGAAGGAAGGAGGAAGGAGGGAGGGAAGGAGGAAGGAGGGAAGGAAGAAGGAAGGAGGGGGGGAGGGGGAGAGAAGGAAGGATTGAGGAAGGAGAGAAGGAAGGAAGGAGGGAGGGAAGGAAGGAATGAGGCAGGAAGGAGGGAAGGAAGAAGGAAGGAAAGAGGAAGGAGGGAGGGGGAGGGAGGAAGGAACAAAGGAAGGAGGGAGGGAGAGAGGGAAGGAAGA